TCACTGTTGTACAGGTGAAGAAACTGAGAGTCAGAAAGATTAAATAATTTGCCCAGATCTGCTGGCTAGGAAGGGGCTAAGCCAGGCTCCAGCCCAGGTTTGTCTGACCTCGCAGTCCTTGCTCTTACTGCTGTTAACGCTACTTTGGACCATTTGACCCCTTTGAACCCATTTCCAACACTGCAAAATGGGAAGGGATTGTTAATCCTCGCATGGTGATTAAGAGCTTGGGCTCCAGACAGCCCTGCTTTGAATCCTAGTTTTGCCACTTATTGGCTGAGTGACCTTGGGAAAATTTAGCCTTCCTGAGCCTCAGTTCTGCACCTCTAAAGTGGGCCTGGATGGTGGAGGAAATGCAAAGTGGACAAAATAAGGCAGGGTTTTTGTTTTTGAGGCAGAATTTCACTCTTGTCACATAGACTAGAGATCTCAGCTCACTGGAACCTCTGCCTCCTCGGTTCAAGTGATTCTCCTGCCTCAGCCTCCTGAGTAGCTGGGTCTACAGATGTGTGCCACCAAGCCCAGCTAATTTTTGTATTTTTAGTAGAGATGTGATTTCACCATGTTGGCCAGGCTGGTCTTGAACTCCTGACCTCATGATCCACCCACCTCGGCCTCCCAATGTGCTGGGATTACAGGCTTGAGCCACCATGCCCGGCAACAAGTCAGTTTCAATGATTAAATGAAATAATACATGTGTAGCTTGCAATGTAGTGCCAGGTATGTGCTCAGTATAGTTTTGCTATTATTATTGTTGTTGTTTATTTTCAGGGATTGTTATGAGGTCAAATGAAGATCCTTGCCATTGATTAAATGTTATAAAAACAGGAGACCATCATATTATTATGAAATTGGGTTTTTTTGTTCTATCTCATTATGAGAATAGAAAATTATTAAGAATAGCTAAGGGTCACTATTTCCACTAGTTAGACAGGCTGTAAGGTAAAGCTAAGGCTGGACTAAGGAGTAGGGTAAGAGAATTTTGCATTCAAGTGGGAAAGGTAGGGAGAAGCCCCCACCTTTCTATTGCCTCGGTCAAGAAATATTGAGGAGCTGGGAGTACTTTTGGGTGCTTACGCATGGGCAATGGGATTCAGCTTATTTTGGCAGGGAGATGGCTAGGAAATAGGAGGTGGGGTGTTGGTCTAGATGTAATTCAGTTCTTCTCCAGCCTGGAGAGCTTGGGGTAGCAGCCCCTGCTTTACAGAAGAGGCAGCAAAGGCCGAGTGACTATTGAGGTTGCATTGGCACCGACCGAGACCCGGGTTCCCCCATCTCAGCTCTTTGGAGGAGAAGCCAATGTGCAAGGTCAGGCAACCAGGAAATCTGAGGGCATGAGTTTCCTTTCTCATCCTCCAGCCTGGGCACTTGGAGTCTCTTTGCCCTTAAAAGGCCTTGCTTTGTCTTATCTGACTGCTGCCTGCCTCTTGCTTTTCCTGTGATAAGCAGAGCTGTCTACACATCAGCCTCTTAGCCTGCTCAGCTGCTGATGGGAGCTGGCTGCTGAGAAGTCTGTTTGCAACATCCCATCAGTGTACAAACTGGGGCATCGCTTTCTTCTGGGAGAGCTGATTGCCCTATGTTGCAGAATGGATGTGGGGGCTAGATAGTTAAATATATGATGCCTGGCCACAGATATTTAAATATATGATTCCTGGCCACAGAAAAAGTATTCGTCATTGGGATTGTACTGGACCAGCCCAGTCTCTAAAGTTCTAGAATTAGGTGCCTCCTTTGCCCAAAGCCTATCACCTGTTGGAGGGTAGGGTGGCAGTATGTCCCTCCTCACTGGGTAGCTGTGAACATTAACTGACTTCACCAGTGTAAAGTGCCTGGCACAGGGCCTGGCACAGAGGAGGCCTGAGTCAGTGTTGTCTAGGATTACTTTGGAAGGAGAATAAGTCCATGAAATGCATCGAACTCAGCAGGGAAAGACCTGAGGAGTGTAGTTTCTCCGGGGGCCACAGAAGACCCTTATGGATCTGGAGAAGGCTCATTTAGCCAGCCAGCGGGGAACAGCTATCTTGGTGTTAAACCCAACCCCTCGCCTGCCTTTTGTGGTGTAGCTGGTGACCCTAATCATCAGGCCACTGCAACATATCATGGAAGCTGGTGTGAGGTGGCCTGTGGTCCCTGTCCTTCTCCCTCTAATGCCTAGCACTATGCCCGTCTCCTCCTAGCAGCACCAGCTGAGCAGACTTCAGAAATGCCTCGGGCCTTTATATCATCGTTATGTCAAAGGGAGTTGGCCTGGGGGTGGAGGGTGCCCTAGTCACTGGTGGCAGCCATTAACTGTTTCCTTCCCTACCTAGTCCTGGCATAAGTCCTGCTTCCGATGTGCCAAGTGTGGCAAAGGCCTTGAGTCAACCACCCTGGCCGACAAGGATGGCGAGATTTACTGCAAAGG